CCAATCGGGACCAAAATTTATATTTGATATATTCGACTATGGTAGTAGCGATTTTGGGTATTAGATGAAAAAAATACTGAATTTTAATTTTTTGAGTCTCTATAGAGGAATCTGTATTTTGGCCCATGTGCGACATGCCTTAACTGTCTCCAATCGGGACCGAAATTTGCATGTGATATCTGTGACCATAGTATTACCGATTAAGGAGGTGAGACTGAAAAAATCGTTTATTTGATTTTTTTTAAGGACCACCCTAATGTACATACATATCACGTGTAATAATTGTGAACTATTTTTTATTTTATTGCGCCATTACTGTCTTCTGCACACTGTCAAGCGTAAATATGTATCATATTAAATTGCGCGAATACTTCTTAACGTTTCGATGAAAGAAATTAGCGGTCGGAGCAATGCTTTGGGCTTAATTAAAATATTTTTTCTAGCATTTCTTGGAACTATGCTGAAGAGGGAAACATTTAGAAAATTAAATATCATAAATTGTCTCAGATCGCCGCAACCTCTCGCGTAATATATAGCGTCTGATTGTGTTAAACATAAATTGAATAACAATATTTTAAAATCGACTAGAATTGCACTTACCAAAAAGTTATCTGATATTATCAAAGAAGTCGCTTCCTTTTTTTTCAAGTTTCAAGACCAAAGTGGAACAAATTAAAAAAAAAATTGTTCAGGGTCATGGTAACAATCATCTATCTCAAAGCTGTGAAGGGTAGGGACCGAGAACGCGTTTCGGTTTTGGTTTGAAAGAAAATGTTCGGGAACGTTTCCGTAGAGTAAAAAATCCAAGTTCCAGGAACAGAATGAGAACGAAACTTCCGAAAACATTTCTAATGAGAACAAAATACGAATGAAAGTATCTTGAACGCTTTCAAGCATAAATAAATAAGAACACAAGTTTGGTGAATGTTCTGCTAGAGAACAAAATGAGAACAAGAGTTATGAGAGCTTAACGTTAAAAATGAGAGGGGCGTCTGCGTAGTGAGATAAAAAATTATTTTAGTGAGAACCGCGATTGTTGATTCTAATCCAGAGGAAAGCTAGATCATTTCAACTTCCGGATCGTTTATCATTTGGGTGTCTATTTACGAAACAATTTTTCATTTTCTGTGCAACATTTTTGATCATTTTTAATATTCGAACTTTCAAGATAATGGAGCGCTATTAGAGAAATTTTGTTCTTGCTTTCATTCTTCGCGGATATATCAGATAAGATTTGTTCCCATTTCGTTCTCTGCCAGGAAGTTACTGATACTTTAGCTCCCAAATTGTTCCTCGAGGGTATTGTTCGCATTTGGTTCTCTTTGGGATCATTCCACAGAGTTTTATTCTTACATATATGTTTCTCATTGGTAATGTTCTTGACATTTTTTTTCTTATTTTGGTTGCTGTTTGAAGCATTCTTGGGAATAAAACTACGAGAACGACATTTATAATGATTATGATGATGTATGATCGTAATACGAGGTACCGAGAACAACCTGGTGAAGAGTGCTAAAAAATTTCTGCGTGCATGCCCTTAATCGAAATGGTCACCGAAGATTTGAGAAAGCGGTATTCCAAAGACGTCCTGAAAAGTTCCAATCTTCGTCTGTTGTTTCCTAAGCTGAATATCCACCTAGAAGCAAAACATACCATTGAACTTATCAAATGTTTTGGAGGGGGCAGCAATGGAAATTGAAAATTGAATGCTCTGATGCCATCTGCCAACGAGACACCTTCACATTGTGATAAAGATATACATATTTATATCCTATCCGACTATTAACGCTCTATTTCATATACTTTGCACATTTTCAGTCACGCTGAAAGATCTTTCTGTTCTTTACGTGCCCTTCTCAATATAAATTACGACATTGATGTAAAGACAGAAAAGGTGATGGATATATTTGTCAATATGGGCAACCAACGCAGAGTGGTGAAAAACTGAAATCTACTGTTAATACTGTTACTGTTAATAATTAATTTTTCAACCGATTTGATATTTTTTTATGTTTAGAAGGGATTGATAGAGACCGTTTTTGAATTTTTATATGTTTATATTAAACTTTCAGTGCAAAAAAAAGTTGAAAACAAAAGGGGGTGTTCCCCATAAAATAAACAAGTTAAAGTTTTAATGTAATGAACAATTAAAAAAAAAAATTAACCTTTTTTTGAGAACTTTTAGTAAAATTTTAGGAATAGAGGTTTATAGTCCATTAAGTATAATAAAGTACAAGTTTAAAGTGGCTAAGAATTCGAGTTGATTTTTTTGCTTACTGTGCTGGGCATTCCATATAAAAGACATTTCGGGCACACTTTTTATATATAAAAAAATATATTAAAAGTCATCGTGAATTCTTAGCCGCTTGAAACTTGGATCCTATTATACTAAACCTTAATGTGCTATAAAACTGCATACTTAAACAATTTTATGAAAATTAAGAAGTGGCGAAATCGTTTCTTTAACATTTCAAATTTTTTTTGTAGCAATATTTTCGCATTTTCGGGAAACCCTATAATTTTTTTCAACTATTTTTTGTTATTTAGCATTCATTAACCGGAATTGGAGAATCGATTTTCTTGAAAATTTCTACTTTTTTTGCACTTTGCGCTAAAAAATTGTATATAAGTAAATACAAATTAAACAAAAATCGCTCTACAAGTCTTTTCTCATTTTTATCTGAATTCATTTAAACAAAAATCAGTTATCAAATCCATTGTAAAATTAAGTTTCTGGACCATTTTGAATAGTAAACTCCTATTTGACACCACTGTGCACCCCATCAGTGTCTAAAATGAAAGTTTCAAGAATAAAGTTTATGTTTATTAATACACTCACTGAATAAGTGTAACATGTTTACTAGAACCGATTTCATAATCTGACTAAATTTATCAGACAATATACGATTATTTTAATTACGTTGGGTCGGCCATGAGATGTAATAAATCAAGCTGTGTGAAATATTATTGAACTTTTATCTTAGTAACGAGGCAAGTCGGAGTTCTTGGTCCGTATCATGATCAAATGGCTGATTGTTCAACAAATCACGGCAGTTCCTTGTCTATGTATGTTACTTATATAGTTTCAACGCGCACAATTAATAAATAGTTATGCTAGAAAATAATCGCTATCCAATAGAATTTCCGTCACCAAATATGTACATATGTATGTAGCATCTTCAGCGCTAAGCTTCGAGTTAGAGGAATAAATGTCTGAAATAGAAGTTGCTTCCTGTCGGTACATTGTCTATTAAATAAAATTTATTCCGCTTGCCATCGTATGCAGCACATGTTTTACATATGTATGTATTTACCAGTATCTATGTACATACATACCCTGCTAAAAATTGTGCGCCTAATCTCTAAAGAGAGTATTCCGAGATTACTCTCAATCGGGTACAATTGGGCATTAATTAGTCCGAACTAGTCTCATACGGGTACTAATGGAGGCCAATTAGTCTCGACTCATCCCTTATGGGTATAACTGGAGATCAATTAGTCCCCAACTCATCTCTAACGGGTACTATTAACGATTTAATGATATGTACGCACTCAGTCAATGAAATTTCATGTGCGGCGTTGGCACACAAAGAGAGTATTCGCCTAACAAAACTGAGCACCCCGGTTCGAATCTCAGCTGGAGCGATCAGTTCATTCCATATAAAGAGATCAAAAGAGGTATTAGTCGCATGCTCCTTTGCGATTGCTCCCGGAGTCATCCCGGATTAGTCCCATTTTTTGCAGGGTATATATGGAAGCACTCGCATGCACAATTATATTTATACAACATATACATATACATATATGTTTGTACATATTTACGACAACCAAGTGGATGTTGCAAACTAATCGCAGTTCGAGTGCAACAAATGAATTGAACGTGCGTACCATATGTGATACCTGCTTGAGTGTTCGTTCTCACACTTATTTATGTATGTATGCACATACAGACCATTTGTATGTGTGGAGTCATATGCATATAATTGTTTTAATTTGCCGTTGGTTTCTTGTTTTAATATTTTCTTAGTTCTTTTCTATTTCTTCGCTGGTGCTGTGTTTTGCCTCTAGCTATAACTAGCTTTGTGAGCATATATTTTGCGTTGATATTGCTTGTTGTTGTTATGGACTTAGCGTATTTTGCTCTTTTAATTTACCTTCCTTCCTTTAGAGCACTTTCTTTGCCACTTTCACGGCAATTCTGTTCGATGCATTTTTCCATAGTTTCCAGTGTTTTTCTGTTTTGTGCAGCATTTTCTCAACGAACAGTCACTGTTGTGTTTTATTAGTGCAACCACACGCCACACGGCTTTTAACACATATGTACATATGTATTTGCATGTTACTAGAGCTGAAACTATTCGTATATTAGAAAATCCGGATATCCGTTTGGAAATTTGTTTACGAAAAAAATCCGAATTACACGGATATTGTAAACATTATTTGAGCAGATGTGTAAAGCTATTCTCAAATTTACTGAAACTATCGGCTAACAAAATACTTAATTATACTCGTATAGAACACTTCATTAAAAACGAATAATTGATTTATTTTGGAACGTCATTCCTTGTCAAGTTTGATTTGGAGACAAACCGGTTTCGGCGTTGTGTCATATTCAATGTCATTTTTCGTTCTCGATGACACTGAATATGGCGCAACGCCGCCAATCTCTATTGTAGCTAGAAACTTTACGAAACTCAGACGCGGGATCGCGTAGCCTTAACTTCGGTATCTCGTTGAATAATTTCGGTCGAGTTTGCCACGCAGCTAACAAGACACCACTGCACTTTTTCTTAGAGTGTATGGCCACATACACTCCATATCTTCAAAAGATCTTCTCAAATTTTTGGGAAAATAGGAACTAGTTCCGTTAGGGCGCCATGCATATATCTCTTTTTATTACCTATGTGAATGTATGTATGTATATCAAAACCTTTAATGTTAAAAATTGTTAATAAATACACATACTTACGAATTCATTTATTTTCTCCTCTTCCTTTTAGCTCTATCCGTGCAATCAGTTTGTGTCGCAATGAAATGAAATCGCGGTTAAAAAATAATCACACTTCAAAACGTAATCTGCAAAAAAAAACCGGCCTCATTAAATCGAAATAATTGTGTTGTAATTTAACTTCGAAAAATTAGAAAAAAAAAGAGCACACAGCTTAAGATAAGTGATCTCTAAGTTGTGTGCCCGCGGCGGCACCACAACCAAACAACAAAAGGAATTAAATGGGTATTTTTTAAATACAATTTTAACTCGTGCAGCATGTAAACCAAGGTGAGTTTAAATATTTAATGGTGTTTATTAAAAACATTTTATAATTTAATTAACAAAAAAACGTGTAGATAAAGTTTGGCAATGGGTAGCAAGACAAAAAGTTCAATTGAAATACATTTACTGCTAGTATGTTTTCCTCAAAGAAGAGGATGAGAAATCTTACCAGAGAATATTTAAATAAGCAACAAATCAGTGATGGGCAAAATGGTATTTACTAAGCATTAAGTAAGTGAGCGACAGCCAGTCAGCACTCAAGGCCCTATTATCATTTGAGGTCAAGTCCTCTCTGGTTCTTGAGTGTATTGATAAGCTCAACGCCCTGGCGGAGTGCAACGACATCCAATTAACTTGGGTGCCAGGTCACGTAGGAGTTGTCGGCAATGAGGAAGCAGACCGACTAGCTAGGAAGGCAGCCGCCTCGTTGCCTATAGGGCCTGAGCCCTTCATAGCGATTGGACCTAGTACAATCAAGGAAGTGCTCAGGAAGGAGAGGAACACAGTAAGGAATCAGCACTGGCGTAACACGGCAGGCCAACGCCAGGCTAAAAGCCTACTGGGAGGTTACAACCATACAAGCAATTATAAACCTTCCCAAAGAAAGGGTAAGGATATTGACAGGCTTTCTGACGTGTCACTGCAGACTGAGAGGTCACCTGCACAGGTTGGGGATCTGGTCTAACGACCTATGTCGGTTCTGCGATGTGACTGAGGAGACCCCTCTGCATCTGCTTCGCGAATGCGTGGCAGTTGCGAGAAGACGGGAGAGACACCTAGGCCAACTCTGGCCAAGCGATGAAGTCTTACAATCGCTAGCCCCCGGAGATCTCCTTAAATTTTTGGGTTCTCTGGGACTAAATGAGGTACTCTAACAGTCGAGGGCAAAATAGATCATTTGGTCGCAGTGCATACCTCTACTTAATCTATCTATCTAAGCATTAAATACTAAATACAAGAGTATTGAGGTATTCGTTTTGACGTAAATACCAAAGTACGAAGTATTTATGTTAGTATACACTTATTTTCACAGGGCTAAATGGATACAAAACCACCTAGGGCCGTTTTCTTATCTAAGCAATATTCCGAAAATTTACTATATTCGTAATATAATTTCAATTTTGGCAATGCCACATTGGCAAAGAAAGAATTTGTACTGTTTGTCAAAATGATGTGTTTGTTGTACTTTTGTTTTGTACTGATTTTCAATGGGCGCATAATTTGTTAGTGTAGTTTCTATTTTTTGGCTGCCGCTGCCACCTAGTATAAATTCGCCTTGCAATAAAGCAGCAAACGCAGCTGTTAGCCAAAACCAGAACCTTGGTTCAAATATCTAATATATCGGAATCATGAACCAAATTGAAAATTGGGTTCAAATTGTTAAAGACAATAAATAGGCCGGTAATCTATAGATAGATGAGAAAACGGCCACTAATACCTATGACTTGATTTAAAAACTATCTCGGTATTTTCGGGACTACTTGGGAAATTTTGGGACTATTTTAGGATCTTCGGTAATTTAGGGACTGTTTCGGCATTTTCGAGACTACTTCAGAATTTCTAGGATTGGCGGGATCGTCGGGACTATTTCTGGATTCTCCGAACTATTTCGGGATTTTTGCGACTACTTCGGGGTTTTAGGACGTTTGCGACTTTCAATACTTTCTCGGAGTTTTTGGGACTACTTCTTCATTTTCGAAACTATTTCAGGATTTTCGGGATTTTGGGGACTATTTCGGGATTTCTAGAATTTTTGGGTTTCTCGGGACTGTCTCGAGATGTTCGTGGCTGCTTTGAGATTTTTAAGACTTTAGGGACAATTTCGAGTTTTTCGAGACTAAATATAGCGATAAATATATAAAAAAAATATATTGATAAATATCAGTAAAAAATATTTATAAACATATTGACAAAAAAACGATAAAAATGTAGATAAATATGTCGAAAGAAAGAACGATAAATATATCGATTAAAAATAACGTTCAAAATATCGATAAATATATCGACAGAAGTAACGATAAATATATCAATAAAAATAACGTTAAAAATACCGATAAATCTATCGACATCAAAATCGTTAAATACAAATAAAATTCCGAAATATGTCCGAAAATTTTAAAATAATCCCGAGAATTGCAAAGTAGTCTCGAGAATCCCAAAATAGTGCCGAGAATATCGAGATGGAGGTGAGCCGTGGCGATAGTAAGATGAGTTCCGTTGTGGTGAGTTAAGGTTTGGTGAATGTAGGTGTGGTGAGTGAGGTGAGGTGAGGTGAGTTGTGGTAAGATAAGTTGAGGTGAGTGTAAGGTAAGGTGTTAATGTTTTAAATTATGGGGTATGTATTTAGTTTGAAAGTATTTAGCCATCGAGAATAAATACCTTATTACTTTGGTGAAAGTATTTTGCATCTGGTACTCAGGTGCTTTGAACCAGAATATTTAGCGCCTGCTAAATAATTAAAGCTTTTTTTTACTTTAATATCTAACAGCTCCTAAATACCTGCGTAAGTATTTTTTACTTGAGAATTTAGCAACTCCTAAATAACCAAGTTTTTTTTTTACTTCAATAGTTAGTCATCTCTAAACACTAAGTAATTGTGTATTTAGTACCCAACCTGGTACTTTAAATACAAAAGTATTTAGGTGTGCCCATCACTAACAAAAATAAATTGAGAAAATATGTAACATTGAGCGACAATCTGTTAAAAAAAATTTATTAAGTATATATATATATTTAGTTATATTTTCAAAAGAGCGCATGGCTCAACGCACACTTGGAGGTTTATACAAGAATATCGATAAATAATTAAAACAAATAATTTTCACAGAAACAATAGGGCAATTCATCTAAACGCATAAATGCCAGGTATCCCAAATAACCCAGTATTATTGGACCAGCACTATTCAAATTTTATATTTGTTATATAATTTAAGGCCAAATAGTTCAGGTTTTTAACCCACGGTATATTACTGCATGTGGTGGGGTAGAACTAGTATTTCGCAAAGTAATTTTTATTGCACCAAAATGATATTACAAAAAGTATTAGTATGTATGTATACGATTTTCTAGAATTCTTCTAGCCTTATATACCGCTAACTTGTTAGGTATATCGCTACCATGTTTGCATAATATTTGAGGCTGTCACTATTTTAGACTACAAAATCAAAGTATTGCCAATGTAATAGTAAAATAATTTAAACGTTTCTCAATGTTAAATGGCTTTATGCAACAGTAGCACTCGCCATTGTGGCAACAAATGAAAAAACACACCAGCATGGGTGTGACACCGCATTCTCAAGACGTATTCAACAAAAAACAAAAACAAAAAAAAAACGAATAATGACACCCGTGCACACCCGCGGTGGTGTGAGAAAACGAAAATTGAAATTTGCGCATAGCTAAGCTATTAACTCATTTCAGCAACAAATGCAGCATTTGGCGCTGCAGTATAGAATATAAAATTAGAAAAATAAAACAAGAAAAATCAGAAAACGGATGAAAGCAATGGTGATGACAATGTCAACAGCACAATGAAAAACCAACCCATTGTACCAACCCAGAGCTCAGACAAAGCAGCGGGCGGCCAAGCCGAGAGGCAGCCACCAACCGCCAGCAGTCAGCAGCCGGCATTCAACAGCAAATCCAGCAGCAGTTGATGTCATATTCATGACAATTTCGTGCCATTTCGTCATGCCATTTGACAAATATTTAACAAGCATTTAGAAAAAGAATATATGCACAAATACACTACGTACAACAATAACTTGTGTGAGGTTATTAGTTTAGTGCAGCAAATCATTATTAAGCGTTGCTAAATGGTTGGGAAAAAAAACGTTACATAGGTAAACCATTTATTTAAACCAAAAATATTTTATTAAATGAAAACCGAATGAATTTTATTGCAAATGCTTCGCTGGGAATTTATTTCAGGCAAAAGTATTTAAATGAAAAGTAAAAAAAAAAAATATTGCTAATTCTTCGCTGTACTTTGATACTGGCAAACGAAAGACTTAAGAAACGAACTTTCGTTTATTTTCTTACATTTAACAAAACCATTAACAAAGCGCTGATCGCAATTAATAGTGAACTTTATGTTAGACTGTCCCAAGAATATATGGAAACAATTTTGTTGCATATTTTTGATATGTAGTATACCCTCCGTAGTTGTGCTTTTTAGCCTAAATAGCATATATGTGAAGTTTTATTGCCGTAGCATAACGATAACCTGTTCCGACTTTTAGTTGAAATTTTAGTTAATAACTTAAATCAATCGTCCATGAAAACTTTGGAAAAATTCGATATGTTTTCAATATTTTAGCACATTTCTAGTAAATCTGCATCTTTTAATTTTTAATAACACGGCACGATTTTTCCCAAGGCCATCAAAAAAAATAATAAATCTAAAATATCCTCTTCAATTTTTCTACTTCAATATCCATATATACGTTAATAGAATTTAAATTAAACTAAGATTTTTCAAAATGCATTCAAAATTAAAAACCTTGAAGGATAATATTTTTAAAGGGCATTTTTGACATGATCCAAAAGGATAATTGAAAACAAAATTAATAATTGAATTTGCTTTGAAATTTTCTTTTAATTGATACCCATATTTCCACATTTTGTGTAAATTTTTGGAAATATATAATAATTAATGGTCCTTTGGAAAAAATCCTTACCTGGTAAAAATCTAAAAATGCAGTGTATAGTAATATCGCCTTATAAAAAAGTAAAACTAGTAAGTTAACAAAAAACTCTATGGTATACTACGCGGAATTCGAACTTAATAAGTCTGATAAGCAGCCGAAGTATTGTAT